TCATGGTCCTGTAACTCGTTATCCCAACCCCACTTTGCTGAGCTGGCAGAAGCTGGACTTCGCCAATGAGACTTGGGGTAGCAAAGTGTGGGATCCTAGTTCAACTTTCGATGCAAACAAGGACTTTGAAGTTCAGAGAAAAAACCAGGAAGGAGGTTGTGGTAATTTGAATGTAATTGCCTACCATAGGCACATAGGGAGTGGCACCATTTGTTGTGGGTGTGGCCTTGTTGGAGGAAGTGTGTCACTGTGGGGGTGGGCTTTGAGTTCTCTTCTGCTTAAGCTTCGCTTAGTGGGACAATCTATTTCCTATTGCCTTCTGATCAAGATGTAGCCAGCATCATGTCTGCCTTCATGCCGCCATGCTCCCTGCCGTGATGATAATGGACTGCACCTCTGAACTATAAGCCGCTGCCTAGTTAAATGTTTCTATGAATAAGAGTTTCCGTGGTCGTGATGTCTCTTTACAGCATCAGAAACCCTAACTAAGACAGAGGTGAAGCCCAGAGCATCTAGAAGGAGGCTCAAGAGTCAGCATTTCCCTGCTGGTTCACCGTGACCCTTTTCTTTCTTCTCCTTTGCTGAGCAGCAAAGCAGACATGCGCTGGAATATTTCTCTCTAGTTAAAGTGTCTGCTCCTGATTGTTGTCAGATTCCTATGAAGTCTTGTTTGCTGTCATACAGGCATGCTGGGTATCTGGGTGATATATTAGGAGACTTTTCTGGAGACAGCTTTATCCTCTTCCGGGAGTCCAGATGTGCCTGTCCTCTGTCTGCCTTACTACCCGGCTCTCAGCCCTGTCCTCCAAGTGGATAGAAGAGGGGGTGTGCTCACCGAAGCTGGCACATGGACATTGGACACCTGCCTCTTGGCATGCATCTCTGTCCACTGCACCACACTGCCTGTCCCAGGAGCACAGGCCTCAGCTAGCCAGCCCCTGACAAGGCTGTAAGGAACAGTCCTCATGCATTTTTGGCACCCTGTCTTGCCTCAGTGAGCTCTCCCAAGTCTGGAGGAATTCCGGGCACTTCTGTCCTCTGTGCCCCAGGTGTCCTACTGATGCTGTGTGACATTATCAGTGAGGACATAAGGGTTTCAGGAGGGAAAAGGCCAAGTGGATAACGCCTCATTTCGACAGCAGTGTCCTTGTCACCGTCCAACCCACTTGTCCTCTCTGGAAGGCCAAAGGACTAAGCAGCGATTGGCAAGGTTGTTAATGTCAACCGAGTCCCGTTTTCTGTTCGGCTGAAGACCCAAGTAGCCCCCATGCTTGTCACAGCTGTCACTGTGCCCTTTCTGCCATCTCTTGTTTGCTTTGGAACCATCTGTCATTCTTTAAGTTTTGCTAAACAAGGAAGGTAGTGGGATTGGGGCACTGGGAGAGAAAGGAGACAGAGAAGACTGGGGACAAGGACAGTCCGTGCCGTAGTAGCTTTGTACAAAAGTCAGACTTCCACACAGGCAGTTCTGGGATAGGACACCAGCACTAACAGACAACATTCCCAGCCTCCCTTTCTTCTTTTTTCCTCCTGCTTTCCTCTTCTCTTCACCCTTTTCCCTCCCTTCCTTTTTCCTTCCCTCTGCCCCTCTCTCCCTTCCTCTTTTCCCCCTGGACAAACCAGTGTGCAGGTCCTGAATAGACCGAGGATCCTGTGTGTGTGAGTTCACTTGGGCTTCCATAACAGCAGAGATGGGAAGACTTGACAGCTGTTACTGTATGGGAGTGGAGGCTAAAGTCTAGGATCAAGATGTCTGAGGGCCTCTGACTTGCAGACCTTCTGCCCTGCATCTGCGTAGGAAGTTCCCCGTCCCCTCCCTCTCACCCTTCCCCTTTTTCCTACCCTTCCCCTCCCTCTCACCCTTCCCCTCCCTCTCACCCTTCCCCTCCCTCACACCCTTCCCCTCCCTCTCACCTTCCCCCTCTCTCCTACCCTTCTCCTCCCTCACACCCTTCCCCTCTCCTCCTCCTCCTCTTCTTCTTCTTCTTGTTCTTCATGTCTGCATGATTGCGTGTGTGTGTGTGTGTGTGTGTGTGTGTGTGTGTGTGTGCGTGTGTGTGGAGGACAGATGCCAACCTCAGGTGTTTTCCACAGTAGCTCTCTCCATTCTTGTTGGAGCCTAGGCCCCTCACTAAACCTGAAGCATATACCATCACACCAGGCTTTAAAAGATATTTTCTTTTTCTTTTACTTTATGAGTGTGGGTGTTTTGCCTTCATGTATGTTTATGCACAACATACATGCAGTGTCCAGAAAGCTAAAAAGAAGGTGTCAAATACCCCGAATCTGGAGTTACAGACAGCTGTAAGCTGCCGTGTGGATGCTAGGAATTGAACCTGGGTCTTTTGGAAGAGTAACCAATGCTCCTAACTGCTGAATCATCTTCCCACCCCATGGCTTTTGTAAATACCCGGTTCTGTGTGCGAAACTCAGGGTCTCATGCTTGTGTGCCAAGCTCTTCACCAGCCGAGACGTCTCCCAGCCCAGACTCTGTCATTTCTAGGACAGTCTGTAACCGGAAGTTTCTCTCCTGCCCACCAGTTCTTGAGTAACCACCCTGAGGCTTAATATTAATTACAAACTGTTTGACCTATTGGCTTAGGCTTATTATTAACTAGCTCTTACAACTTAAATTAACCCATTTCTATTATTCCTTATTTTTCCACGAGCTTGTGGCTTGTTACCTCACATCTTGCTTTGTTAGCAGCTGCTGGCATCTCCCTGACTCTGCCTTCTTTCTCCCTATATCTGTTTGGATTGCCCACCTAGCTATATTCTGCTCTGCCATAGGCCAAAGCAGCTTCTTTATGTGCTAATGAAACATATTCACAGCATACAGAAGGGCATCCCACATCAACAGTTGTGAATGAAGAGGTTAGTTTCTGTAAACGGGTCCTCTGGGTAGATGACTTCTGAATCCCAGTGCAGCACCCTTTGATCTGAAGGGGCAGCTCACGGTCAGTTTGGGCTCACGTGGCCCAGGCAGGCCTTGAATGTTCTGGGAAGCCAAGGATGACCTTGAACTCCTGATCCTCCTTCCCCCCACCTTCCAGGTGCTGGGATCACAGGCGTGAATCACCACACCAGATCTGAAGGGATGGTTCTTATTTGTCTTGGTCAGTGTGTCATCCTAGTGAAACACAGCAACAACCTTTGCTCCGACAAACATGGAACCCTCGTCAACGTGTAACTGCTATAATGTAGTTCCAGTGGGAATCCGTGCTCCTGGGGACTGCAGTGTGGTGCCAGCAGCATCACCTGGGGGTGGAGTTAGCGTGGCTCTCTGTACTTCAGACACCCCTGTCCTGTTAGCACAGACCCTCTGCTACCTCTGCTGTACACTGGGTTCTGTGAAATACGAAAAATAGCTTGAAAATGGCTAGCGCATTATACACGGATTCATAGCTATCCCCAACATTGCTTCCACTCTGTGTATCCCCCGGGGATACAACTAATGTTCATATTAGCCTGAGCAGCACATAATTAGGAGAATAAATCTACTGAAAAAAGTAATATAGCATAAATTAAATAAATTAAATATAAATCAAATCCGATATAAAACAATACATTCAATTATCCGCATCACTACCTCCTCCTTTCACAGAAATATCTGAGTTGAAGCTCATTTTCCTGCTAGGATAAGACTAGAGCAGAGCCCAGAGCAACAAGCTAAGCCCACCCTCGAAAAGGTGGTGTCTGACCTGCTTTTCACTCGGGACCTGTGATATTTGGTGAAGGCGCTTGCGGCCAGCTTAGCTTTAGACCTGGGAAGAGAGCCTGCTGTCTGTTTTAATATGTAAGTTCAGGAGCTAGTTTGTTCGGTGTGTTAGTAAATACGTATTGTGCTATTAAATTTATTATACAACACAATAACTACAGCAGCACAGCCTGTTGTACTGTGAAGTTCTCAAAGGTTCTGTATGTGGAAAGTCACTGGTTAAGAGGGCACCAGCTGATGGGCTAGGGCTATAGCTCAGTTGGTAGGATACCTGCATAGCATGCAGCAAGCCCTGAGTTTGACCCTAGCTCCACAAAAGCTTAGTGGCTGCACTCTTGTGATCCCAGCACCCAGGACACAGAGGCGCGAGGATCGCAATTTCAAGGTCATCCTGCCCCGCATTGTGAGTTTAAGGTTAGCTTGACCTTCCTGAAACCCTGTCAAAGAGCAGAACAAGCAAGCAAATAAAAAGGTAGATCATCCAGTGATCTCGGCAGCCCGGAACTCCCCACATGGGCTAGGCTGGGTGACCGCGAAGCACAGGGATTCTCTTGTCTCTGTCTCCTTCGTGCTGGACTGCAAATGTCTACCACCATGCCTAATTTATTTATGTGAGTTTGGGGAATCAAATCCAGGTTCTCATGCTTGTGTGGCTATCACTGTACTGGTGGAGCCAGCTCCCCAACCCCTGAAGACAGAGATTTATTTTATTTTTTTTTATTATTTAAATTTATTTATTTATTAAGGATTTCTGCCTCGTCCCCACAACCGCTTCCCATTTCCCTCCCCCTCCCCCGATCAAGTCCCCCTCCCTCATCTGCTCGAAGAGCACTCAGGGTTCCCTGACCTGTGGGAAGCCCAAGGACTGCCCACCTCTATCCAGGTCTCGTAAGGTGAGCATCCAAACTGCCTAGGCTCCCACAAAGCCAGTACGTGCAGTAGGATCAAAAACCCACTGCAATTGTTCTTGAATTCTCAGTATTCCTCATTGTCCGCTATGTTCAGCTAGTCCGGATTTATCCCATGCTTTTTCAGACCTAGGCCAGCTGGCCTTGGTGAGATCCCAATAGAACATCCCCATGAAGACAGAGATTTAATGGCAGCCTAAGTAAAGCATGTTTAGAGAGGGGATCTGTGGCCGTGCCAACTCAGCCAGGTGTCACCTTCTTCTTGATCCTTTTCAGTTGCTCAGGTGATGGAAGGTTCCTATGGCTAGTGTCTTACATGTATAGAGCTCCACCTTGGTTCCACGAAGACCTATGTTCTGTTCTAATTCTTCTAGCCTCCAGGAAAAGACAAAATCACTGAACATGGCCATTAGAGACATCACCACTCAGGTAAGCCCACTCCTTCTCCCATTTTCTTCTAACCTAATTTCACGTCCAGATCACCAAAGGCTTGGGCTGTTTCCCAGGCTGTGGCAGGGAAGATGAGCTGGGGAGTGACCATGGGTGGCAGCAATGTTGTGGGGACAGCTATGAATCCATGTATCTTGTGCAAGCTTTGCTGTACGCAGGGTTCTGTGAAATACGAGAAATGTGGAGAGCAACTGAGAAAGACACCCAGAGTTGACCTCTGACCTCCACACACATGCCTACAAGTACACGAACATACACATATAACACACACACAAATCGGAAAGCTGGGCCCTTACCAGGAAGCGTGTAGAGAGGCTCGTGCTCCACCCGACTATGCTCATGCTGTCAGGAGCTGTTTGTAGGGTTGGATGTGTTTGCTCCTTTTTCTGTTTTGTTTTTGTTTTTTATTCCCTTATTTACTTCCAGAGCTGACATCGGATTGTTTTGATCTGGTGTTATGGTCAAGGATCTGATGGGTTCCTGTCAGCAACCAGTAATGTGTATAAAAAGACGCCGGACTCTGGAATGCTTGAAATCCATCGTGAGCTTCCTGAGCTGAGGAACGAGCTATGTTTCCCGTTTTGCCTGGCTCAGAGATGCGCTAGAAGAACCGTGATCAGAGACCTCAAGGATGCTGTCGTTTTCTAAATGCTGGGAGGGATCTCTGTCTTTGTGTGCTTTGATTACGCAGCACTGAGGAGGGCTGAGGGCCAGATGCCGGCATGGCCAGGTTCTGGTGGAGGCCTCTTCTGAGGCACAGATGCCAGCTCCTCATGTGACGGAAAGAGAAGGGAAAAGATAGGGGAGCTCTCTGAGATCTCATATTATTATATTATTATCAGTGTGTGTGTGTGTGTGTGTGTGTGTGTGTGTGTGTGCGTGTGTGTGTGCGTGCCCCTGGAGGACAGTCATAGATGTTATGTTTAGGAACGTCATCCACCTCCTTCCATAGGGTCTCTCATTGGCCTGGAGCTTACTGACTAGGCTACCCTGGTTGCCAGCAAGCTGCAAGGATCCTCTCTGGTCTCCACTTCTCCAGCTCTGGGATTATGAGTTTGTGCCACCATGTGCAACTTTTTACATGGTTTCCGTGGATCCAGCCCAGGTCCTCTTGTTTTGTTTTTTTGTTTTGAGCCGCTATCGTCCAGGGCCCCTGTGCTAAGGACACCTATGCTTTTATAAGGTTCTACCGTTAGGACTGATTGTTTCCCAGAGCCCCACCTCCTCATCCCAGCATCATACTGTGGCTGAAGATTTCAGCATATGGACTTTTGGGGAACACAAGCATTTAGACAATTGGGGAACACAAGCGTTCACACCATTGCGCATCCTATCTCCAAGATATTTATAGTCAATTTATAATGACCCCACTTTTCTATCAAATTAAGGAGTCTGTGCCTTAGATTTTAAAATATAAATGCAAAACTTCCATTCTTTAATGAGTTCCTCAGGGGCTAATTTTATTTGTAAATAAAGAAGACTTGCAGATTTTTCTGGGGTGGGTATGTGTATAACATTGCACATGCGTGAGCCTAGGAGGCTGTGTGAACAAACTGGCTGGTCACCTGGGGTGTCTAAACTGTAACTGTAACCCCAACCCCTCTAGACTGGTAAGTGACCATAGGCCTGAGGCTCGGCTCAACACACACACACACACACACACACACACACACACACACCTGGGAGTGCTCACCCTCTGATATTTTCTGAGTGAGATACAACCTTCTTACACTCATTACATTTCTTGCCTCTCATGGGTTACCCAAACCAAAGGTAATTAAGGGATAAATGAGATGGAAATAGTTGGAAATAATTGGGATATCTAGAGACTGGTAGATATTATATTATATCCAGCAGAGACTGAAAGAGTGCGCAATTTAATCAGAAAATTTAGAAAGGCCGTTTCATATTAATAGTGTAGCTTGAATGATGGGCTTCCTCAGCAAAGGAGAAACTGACCTAATTATGATTAAGAGATACTCTTAACTAAAATCAGGAATGTTAGACATGGGTTAGATGAGACCCGAGAGCTCTGGCTGGTGTCCTGGAATTACCTGGCCAGTCTTTGAACTTCCCCAGATGACAGTGGTGATGGAGAGGATGGGCTGGCCACATGGTGGGTGGGGCCAGTCATGGAGCACTGAACCAACTGAGACAGCCAGGGGAAGGTGCCCTGGACATCTTCCTTTTAGTTCTTGGTTCTAACATCCTCGCAAGTCTCAGGACTCCTGAAAGAGCCTCCAGGTGATTGAGTGGGCATGAGGATGGGCGGCTGGTTCGGAGTCGACTGATTGTGCTGGGAGCTTCACAGAATGAGGTTGGAAGATTCCAGGCACAGAGGGAAAATAAACCACAGCAGCCAGAGAGAACTGGTTGAGGGTTTCTGGACTGGGTGAGGTCTGCTTTCATTCTGACAGTAGCTTCTGTTTGATCTCAGAGAAGCCAAATATTTAAAGTTGACTGCACCCCTCCAGATGTAGATTGTATGGGGGAAATAGAATCCCGTGTCTCCTGTGAGCTCTCAACCCAAGTGCACTGATGACTTCCAGTTTCCGAATGGGATTTCATATGTTTTGGCAATAAATAAATAACAATGCTCAGGGGTTACATCCTCTGTGGACTTCCCCAAATGCCCGCCATTTTCCCCCTACAGAAACTGCTGCATGCTTTTGGTGAGGGGAAAATGTAGGTGAACCACTAGTCTGAACACAGGTATCAGATAAATAAGGAGGAAATGTGATCTTTTAGTCTCGACGTAAAGATAACCTAAGGGCGTTTGGACACAAGACTGAGGTTGGAGAGTTTTGTTGTTTCTGAAACTCAAAGAAAAACATAGTCAGTGTGTGCGGATTCTGGGGGACACTTGATAACCCCCCAAGTCTTCTCGACAGCCATGTGTCTGTCTTTCAGTTGGACTCTTCAGCAAGTATCTGCCCCTCTAGTTTCTCCAGAGTCTTCTAGTAAATGACATTGAGCAGGTTCCTCTGACCGACTGCCCACTGTGTGCCAGGGACAGGTCAGAGTCCCTGCTCAAGGACAGCTGGCACCCTTGTAGAGAGATTGAGAGGAGACAGGGATAAAAGCTGAAGAGGAAGCCAGAGAAGACTGGGTGAAGGGAAGGGACAGGAGGTCAGCAAGGCCTTTCCTCCCAGGGCACCATGTAGCAAACAGATCAGGGCTATGAGGGCTGAGCGCTCAGGCAAGAGTCAGCAAATGAGCTCACACCAGCCTGCCAGGGCAGGGGTGTGCTGAGTGCCTGCAGCCTCTCTTCTAACCTCTTCCTCCCTCTCCTTTACCTCCCTCTGCCCTTCTCTCTCTTCTCTTCCTCTGCCCCCTTCTCTCTCCCGCTCCTTCCCCTTCCCTCCTCCTCTCCTCTGCTCTCCTTTCCTCTCCTCTCCTTTTCTCCCCTCCCCTCTCCTCTCCTCTTGTTCCCTCTTGTCCCCCTCTTCTGTCTTTGCTTCCCTTCTAATCCTATTAGAAGGAATACCCTATTATTAGTTGCTTCCTAAGCCCTGCCTTCTGGTTACTCTCTGTCAATCAGCTCAGCTACTTAGAACCCAGACACCTCAGGTCCCTTTCCCTTCTGTCTTCAATTGGTAGCAATAGACACTGATCCCTGCCATTTCTCCTTGTAGGTGTGTTCAGGTGAGAGACTGTGCAGCTCTCTGAGGAGGAGACTCAATGACCTTGACACCAGGCTGCCTCAATTGCTGGAAGCTAAGATGCTGGCCATATCAGGTAACTAACTGTCAACGCGCTTCTATTTTCTCACTGATGAACATGTGGAAGTCATTCCAGCTACCTGCGAGGCTGAGGGTTACACTGAGTTCTAAGTTGGTTTGAGTGATTTAGAGAGACTGTCTCAAAATAAGGGAGATGGGGAGAAGCTCAGCGGTAGAGCGCTTGCCTAGCATGTGCAAGGTCCCAGACTTCAGGTCAATGCCTACCAAAACACACAGACGCACATGCACACACACATATGCACACACATACAATGTACACACACATTCACACACATGCACATGCACACACATACAATGTACACACACATTCACACACACGCACATGCACACACATACATGTACACACATTCACACACATGCACACAATACAACGTACACACACATTCACACACACGCACATGCACACACATATGCACACACATACATGTACACACATTCACACACACGCACATGCACACACACATATGCACACATATACATGTACACACACATTCACACACATGTACACACATACAACATACACACACATTCACACACATGCACACACACACACACTCACAATGTGGCAGCTGTGTTAACAGAGTTGTCAGGCTCAGAGCCTGGGCACTGGCAGCCCTAACCAGCCTGGCTCAGCCACCATTTGCAATGGGCCAGTCAAGCAGGCAAGTTGCAGTGAAATGCAGAGGACAGAGACTTATTCATTGTGACCACACTGGGAAAAGGAACAGAGCCTAGTGACCCCCAAGTTCATCTGCAGAGCCCTGATGGAAGTTTTAGGTTTGAGTAGAGGGCAGCAGGGTTCCCCATGAAGGGGCGTAGTCCTTCATGAGCACCCCACGGATACAGTTTGCTCCTAGGGGACCTTGTCTTGGATGTGGGTGATTTTAGGTAGTAGACCCGTTGCTCCATAGGCTGTAATTCCAACCACGTTGGTGAGTCCTGTGTGTGGCGGGAGCCTCGAGGGCCACTGGGTGTGAGGCAGCTCCTTCTAGAAGCTGGCAATGGGGCTGGGGAGACATGTCAGTTGGGGAAGTGTTTTCTGAGTCTCTCCCCAGAACCCATGTAAAGAATCTTTGGGAGGTGGCCCACACTTGTGATCCTGCAAAGGGGAGGTGGAGGCAGGTGGGGTCCTGGGCTTCACTCACCAGTAAGCTTGACTTACTGGTTAGCTCAGAGCAGTAAGAGACCTTGCTTCACAAGACGGGGGCGGTGGCTCCTGAGGAATGACATGTGAGCTTGACCTCTGGCCTCAGTAACCACGTGTGCACACATCCTCTTGCCCCTGAACACATGAATGTGAATATATATGCTCTCAAACACGTGCGTGCGCGCGCACGCGCACACACACACACACACACACACACACACACACACACACACACACGAGAAAGCCGGGCTTAGAACATGTTGGTGTTCTAAGATAGGTTTCTGCGCATGCGTAGTAGTGTGAGAACTTAAGCATACAGTATCTTGCTCTGTCATTTGAATCCTATGTTTGAACACCCCGCCGCCCCACACATGTACACATGGACGTTTGCTCTTTGACTTGCTGTCCTGTAATAGCACTGTTAGGCGGTTGGGAAGGCAACTAAGCACTCAGTGGAGAGGTGGGGTCATCAAGGCTGTGGGGTACGTCCTTCTAGGAAGTTCATGAGATTAGCTGGCAGTGGCAGACCAGTGGCTGGAGTCCAGACTCCCCAGAGTGTGACGCATGGATCTTTAGCCCAGTTATATAGATGGCAGCCTTGAGATCTCTGAGGTTTACAGGCTGCAGGAACGTTCAGTCCATTGGCTTCAGAGGAGTCAGAATCGAATGGGAAGCTGTAATAATTACACGTATGGGTTTTCAATGGTGTTTTAAGAAGGAGTGCGGTGCCTGGCAGCTTCTGCTCCTCACGTCGTTAAACACTAATGCTGCAGCTAACGAGCCACTTGGTCCCGGATGCAACCAAGCGTGGCATTTACAACCCTAGAACATGGTGGGTGAGCGTGCGGCCTGCCTCATAACTGCCTCCTGTGCCACTTAGCTGGAGTTATGGCCTCATTTGCAGAGAGGGGAAAAAAGAAGACGGAATGCAATCTTGTCTGTGAGTTAGGATTTTTTTTTTTTTTTTGCCTTTCTTAATACATCTTCCCCTGAGAACAGGTGGATGGGCCTCCGTGAAGCCCGAGGGAATGTATGTGTGTTTGGCCTGCATGTGTATCTGTGAACCACGTGTGTGTTAACCTGCAGAGTTCTGAAGAGGGTGTCAGATGCCCTGGAACTGAAACTGGAGTTACAGACATTTGTGAGCCATCATGTAGGAGCCGGAACTTGAACCTGTCTTCTGCAAGAACAGCCAGTGCTCTTAACCACTGAGCCACCTTTCCGTCCCTCATTCCCTCCCTCCCTCCTTTCTCTTTGGTGAGCCAGTGAGCTTCATTAGCATCACTTGCAGGAGCATGAGCACCTTGCCAGAGGCTGCAGAGCAAAGCTGCTAGGAGCTGTCAGATGTGAGTGTCTGGGTTGATGCCTTCAGTCCCCTGTGGACATCCCTACCTGGAGACTTGTTGGAGCAAGCATAGGGATACGTTTAACTTTAGGACAGACCGGCAGACTTGTTCTCAGTGGGGTTACACCTCTGCATGTTTGGGAGTTCAGGAACTCTCTCTCTGTTTCTGTCTCTCTGTCTCTCTCTGTCTCTCTCTCTGTCTCTCTCTCTGTCTCTCTCTCTCTCTCTCTCACACACACACACGCACACACACACACACACACACACACACACACACGAGCGCTCACACACACGTGCGCACACACACCTCCAATGTTGATCCTTTTCAGTTTAGGGCTTTGTACCATCTGAATGGGCTGAAGTGGGCTCTGCGCTTTTATTTATACTTCCGGCGACTAATATGTTCAACATGTTTTCATATGTGTGCTGGCCATCTGCATATGGCTCTTTGTAAAAGGCCTGGTGAGTCTTTGTTCATGTTCAATGCTGTCATTTGGGTTCATTGTTGAGATGTAAAATTGAATCCTTCGTCAGTTAATTGTAGCAAATGATCTGTCCCCGTTTGACTTGACTTCCCCTCCCTTCCATTCTTTCCCCCTCTCCTTTGCTTTCCCTTACCCACCCCTCCCTATGTCTTCCCCCTTTTCTTGTTCATTTCTTTACTTTTGACAGTCTTAGGTAGTCTAGGCTGGCTGAAAATTTACTGTGTAGCTAAGGCTGGCCTTGAATTCCTGCTCCTCCTGCCACCACCTTCCAAGTGCTGGGGCATCGGGGCACCACGCCCATTGGCCCTGCCTGTGTGCCGGAAGAAGCTTACGGCCCCAGCGAAGCCTGTTTATCAGGGGTTTTCTTTGATTGTTGTGGTCTGTGTCCTCTGCAAAGCTCTGCCTGTTCCAAACCCAAAGCTGGAACCTTGCCTCTTCTTATGTCCTGCCGGTAGCTTCATAGTTTGAACCTTGTGTGAGTCCCTTGTCTCACCCCTGATGTAATTTGTGTGTGGTCTGAGGTATATATCAGGGTTCCCATTGTCCCGACATGAGTAACCCATTTTTTGGCAACACCCATTGGGGTGATTTTCTCTCCCTTGCTGACTAGCTTTGCAACCAGTTGGCTCTCGGAGGACTCACTTTGGATTTCTGTTGTGATCTGTCACCTGACATGCCTGTCTGGTTTCTGAGGCGCACAGTCCTGCTGCATGGCAGTGATAGCTGGGGCCTTGAAATGTAGGCGGTTTTGGCTGCTCTGCCTTCTCTAGACCTTTGTATTTTCTTTTACATTTTAGGATGTGCCCATTCATTTCTACCAAAGGGCCTCATGAAATTTTGATGGGAATTGTATTAACTCTGTGCATCAATCTGGGATAAGCTGAACCCTAGGAGTAACAAGTTTTCCAGTGGACCCTTGTAGTTCATCTCCACAATTATTTAAGTCTCATTTCCTCTCAGTAGGTCTTCCAAAGCAGTTTCCACATCTGCATAGGATGCTTTAAATTCCTCCCTGCATCCTTTTAGTCTTGAAATACGCTGCAAACTGTGTTCCAGAGAAATGGTCTCGCAGTGGCCTGCCGCGGCCGTCCAGACACACAGCTGGATCTTGTGCCTGACCTGGCTCCTTGCTGCATCCTGGTTACCATCTATTTTATCTGGCACTTTATGGCTTTTCTTTCTTATGCACCCAGCCACCTGTGGTTCCTGCAGCCACCTGCGAGTCAGGTGTTATTACGATCATATTTCATAACACATTTATGCCAAATGTGCTCATTTATTTTTTCATGTTGTTTTTGTTAGGGTCTCTGCTGCTGTGATAAAAACACTGACCCAAAGAACTTGGGAGGAAAGGGTTTATTTGGCTTATAGGTCACAGGCCATTACCTAAGGAAGCCAGGGCAGGGGCTCAAGTGGGATCCTGAGGTAGGGATTGAAGCAGAGGCCACAGAGGAGGGCCGCTTACTGGCTTGCTTTTGGGGTTGTGTTCAGCTATCTTTTCTAGAACCCAGTACACCCTGCCTAGGGACAGCAGCACCCACAGTTGGCTGGGTCCACCTATCTCAATGAGCAATCAAGACAATGCTCACAGACACACCTTACAAGATGATCTGATGGTGGAAAGTCCTCAATTGAGGTCCATCCTTCCCATTTGTGCGGAGATTTGCGTTACATATTGCATGCATTTTGATAATGGGGAGGGGCTTAATTCAGCCGCAGTCTTACCGCAAGGCTAGTTCCTTTCCACCCTGCTGCGCTTTGTCAGTCCTTGGACATTTGGGTAGTAAGTGGAATGATACCTGGGGCTCTCCCTGGTCCTGCTGAGCATCTCTGTGACATTTTCAGAGGCCCCAAATTCCCAATGGCATCCCTCCGGTGTACCTAACCTTTTGACAATGCATCGGGATCTTGTGGTCCCTGATATTCACAGTTAGGAACCCCACAATTTATTTACAAAAAATTCCCACTTGGATGGGGGAACGACTGAGGAGACCCCACCCCACTGGAGGAACCACCGATAGATGATGGCTGCCAAGGGAGGGAAAATCATTTTCTTTTGGGGACATGGCTTCTGGTAGGTTGCTCATGCCTTGATGGATGAGGTTATTAATAACAACAACAACATAAACAAAAAGACAGGAAGTTGGGAGGGAGACAGGGTGCAGGCATTAGAAGGAGGTGGGAGGAGGTAGTCGTGGATGGATATACTCAATATGCATTGTATAAATGTATGGAACTTTCAAGAACATAAATATTATTACAAATCACACATATGGTATCTCCTTTCCTCTCTCCCCCCCACCGTGCTACAGGAAGCCACTTCTGTACAGCCAAGGAGCTCTCGGAGGAGATTCGGGCTCTGTCATCAGAACGAGAAGGGCTAGAATCTCTCTTGGGCAGGCTGCTGGCCCTCAGCTCCAGGAGTATCAGAAGGCTGGGCAGTATAAAAGAGGACTATGCCAGGTGCAGCCAGGACCTGGCCCTCCAGGAAGCCGCCCACAGTGAGTAGTCCCCAGTTATAGCCAAGCCAGTGATGATGTTATTGGATAGTGTGACCAGATGACCTCACTGTGGCAAGGTCACGGGGCACCCAGCCAGTTCACAGGGGACATTGTTAGCAAGAGCCTTGGACAATGGGGCGGGGTCATCCATCAGCATTTGCTTTACTCTTCAAATGCACAACTCGGAGCTTTCCCACGGTGGGCTGTGGAGTTTCCTGTCCTGGGTGCACATCCTGAGTATCTTCCTTGGTCCAGTCTCCCGGGATGCTGGTCACAGGGAGTGACTCTTCTCTCGGGTTATCCTCTGAGGTTTGAATCTCTCCCCAGGAGGAAGACAGAGGTGACACTGGCATCACCTGTGCCCAGGTGTTGGCATGCCAGAAGGGCTAACACGACATACGCTGTGTGTTCCACTTAACAGAGCTGGCACTGCCTGAGCGCTTCATAAATTGACGTCAGGGACAATTATGTTCCAAGTCCAGACAAGGAAACGTAGCTCCGACTGGCAGAGGTTAGGCATGGCGTTTGGGGGTGAACAAACTAGGCTTTAAAGTTCTAGTAAATTGTGTGAGGTGTAGTTTCTCCCACGTTTGAATCAAAGAGATGGTCAGTGGCCACGGCGTCTCTGTCCGTGGCTGCAGCATCTCCTGTCAGTGGCCGCAGCATCTCCTGTCAGTCAGTGGCTGTGGTGTCTCCTGTCAGTGGCTGTGGTGTCTCCTGTCCCGGAGACCTCCACGGGCTCAACGGCTCAGAGCTGAGCACTGTTTCCTTGAACGCTTTTCATTTTGTTTTTAAAGTGCTTAATTTTTATTTTAAAGTGTGCGTGGGGGGAGGAGGGAGCATGTTAATGCAGTTCCTGTGGAGGCTAGAAGGGGGCATTAGATCCCCTGGGGCTGGTGTTACAGTTACCAGCTGGGTGCTGGCTCTGTAAGAACAGGCAGTGTTCTCAACCACTGATACATCCCTCTGGTCCCTCCTTGTTTAATTTCTTTTAAAAGTTTGAAAAATTGATTGTTACTGTGTGTTGGTCCCACAGAGGTCAGAGGTCACAGAGCCACTTTTGGGGGGTTCTCTTCCTCCTCTGTTACGCGGGTTCACTAAGCTTGCGCAGGCCTCTGCCCATCGAGCCCTTTCACAAGCCCCTCCTTTCACTCTCAAAGGCCAAACATTTTACTTATTTATTTGTTTATTTTCCCAAATGTGCAGCCCATGGCTGCGTGAGGAGCGTCCATAAGCACAGGGCTGAGTGTTGGGTCGGGAGGGCGCTCCAGCCCTGCAGGCTGGCCTACTTCATCTGTGAGAGAATCCAACAGGGTGGATCTCTTTTGCTGTTGATTTTTTAAAAAAAATCAATGAATAAGAAAAACTGAAATGTTTCATAGTGTTATCATTCAGCTCTTACACAAAATAGGGGAATGGATTATTTCTAAGAATAAAGAAGATGTAAACAGATTTGAGCAAATCTAACCCAGCAATATTTTCATTTGAATAGCGAGTGAGCACTTGAAAGCCATTAATATATATATATATATATATATATATATATATATATATATAAAAGCGCTGTGCAGTATTTTTGAATCTCATCATTGTTACTTCACTAAATTCTTTCAAGATGATGAATAAAACATAAACAAGCGAACGGGAGACGGTTGCACGGGTGACTCCAACTGCAGATGGCTCATGGTGGGATCTGTGTGCTCCGTGTCTGGATTATGCTGGGTCAGCCACCCACTCCCGCGTGTTCACTCACATGTGCTTGAGGCGGAAGCAAGCTCATTCTTAACCCGTCTGAGGAGGTGTGGATTTGGGTCACCCAAAATGGCAGTCTGTATTGTGAAGGATGTAGGTAGCAAAGACATAGAAAATGTATTTCTAGGGGCTGGAGAGATGGCTTTAATGATTAAGAGTGTGCACTACCCTTGCAGAGGGCCTAAGTTTGGCTCCCGGGGATGCGACGCCCCCTTCTGACATCTTCAGGTACTGCACTCACGTGTACACACATACAGAGATGTATATAAACTCACATAACTAAAACTAAAACAAATCCTTGAAAAGAAAATACATTCCTGAGTAAATTAAAGCTTTTACCTATGGGAATGCAATAAAACTAGATCATAGTCTGGATTCAGCTGTTTTTGAACCTTGAGAGTCAGGAATCCAGAGGGGACATTGAATTCAAGTTCAGATGTAACACAAGCAAGAAAAGACAGACAAATCTGTGTCTGTATAGGCATGGATGCACCACAGAGCTTCTCAGTCTTAAATAAAATTCCTTGGGTCTCTCAGGTCTTAAAAAATTTTAAAAAAGGTATTTCTGTGTATTGGGGGAGAGAGTTGTGCTGTGGGACAACGGTCTGTGCCCTGTCACTTGTATTTTAAATAAATGCTGATTGGCCAGTAGCCAGGCAGGAAGTAGAGGTGGGGCAATGAGAATTCTGGGAAGAGGGAAGTTTCAATCTGCAGCTGTCACCCAGACACAGAGGACACAAGAAGTGACTGCCTCGCTGAGAAAGGTACCAACCCACGTGGCTAACACAGACAAGAATAATGGGCTAATGTAAGTTATAAGAGTTAATAAGAAGCCTGAGCTGCTAGGCCAACCAGTTTATAATAAATGAAAGCAGTGACCACGTGACTCTTTCCTGGATGATGATGGCATGGTCTTGTATAGATATTTATTGTTTTGCTTTATTTTTGAGGCAGGGTCTTCTGTAGTTCAGACTGGCCTTGAACCTGATGTATAGTTAAGGATGACCTTGAACAGCTGATCCTCCTGCATCCACCTCTTTATGCCTGGAATTAGAGGTGAGCGGTACCTGATACCCAGTTTGTGATGTGCTGGAATCAAACCCAGGACTTTGCATATGCCAAGAAACCATTCTACCAGCCAAGCTACACCCCTCGCCCTGCATTTGTTGTTCAGATTGGGGTGATGGGAAAGGGACAGACACATGACAGTCTCAAGGGCGAAGGGAGGCAGACGTGGCTGCTGCCTCTGAATCTGTTACAGTGACACAGGCCTGTGAAGAGAAGAAGACTCCGGTTCTGAGACAGTGTGGCACGCATTTGGATTCTGAGAGATGTTGAGTATAGTGGAGTAAAATGGAAAACCAAGTGGCTCCCGCACCCCTGAATGCTTCCAGAAATTAACCAGCAGCCTCTCATTAATATGCATCTTAATTTTTTTAATAAGGGAAGGTGGGGCGTAAAAAAATGAATAACTGATTTTAGGTTTTTTTTCCCAAAAAAAACCTTAAGATTTATACAGCTGTTTCTCTGTCTCCTATGTATAATTTGATAATCTGTATTGTACTTTATTAATGTTGTTGATTTCACGCTGGAACGCAGATATAAAGAAGCCAGTGTGGAGGGAAGAGATTTCATCACAGAGTAATCAGGGCTAGAATTTAAATAGGACATCATTAGCATGGCAATGCCTTTCTCCTCGTTCAGCTGGCTACCAGAGTAGATCTGGGTCCGCAGTTGGTAAGCCTCTGGGACTCCCTGTTGGGAGTCATTAGGTTCAGAAAGCAGTTTCCAGGGAGAAGGCTGAAGGCAGGATTTTGTATTTGGAACTGTTGGTCCACAGCCTCCATCTTAACTCAGCCTCTTTCAGGGGCTGGGGAGGTGGAAAGTAGGTGGGAAGACACAAGAGCAGTGACTTGATGGTTTCTGCTGATGGTTTGGGGTCTACCAGATGTCCACATGGACAAGATCTACCCTTAGCTCTGGATTCCCTCCTAAGTCCTGAGCTTGAATTAGCCAACAGAAAAAAGTGTGTGAGCTGAAAGGATGTGAGTTCTTCTTACTATGATGTGCAGGGTACAGCCCTTGCAAAAGTTTGTGTGTATCTGTATTTGTGGTGTCTCACTTAGAGGTTCCAAGAGTTGCACACACTGCACATGTGACACCACCCCTCCACACTCACCAGCCATCTTCAAGAGAAACTTCCAAGATGAATAAAAACACAAGAATCACACCTACCTTCTTCTCTCAGGTTAGGGGTGGGAGGAAACAGAAACCTAGGAAATTTATCTAATCAGGACAAAGATGAAGATAAGTAAAAAACTAAACAGTAAAAAGAGACAGAAGACAGTGTTAGTGTCAGATGCTAAGGACTTTGGATGAGATTGGTTGTAGCAGGCTTTCTCTTGGGCCACCAACCCTAAATCATGACCTGGAGGTTTATTATTAGTTATGAATGCTCGGCCTTAGCTTAGATTCATTTCTTGCTAGCTCTTATAACTTATTTTAACCTGTTTCTCTTCATCTACATTTTTGCCTTGGGGATTATTACCTTCCTTTCATTCTGTGTGTCCTACTTTCACTGCTTGTTCTGTGTCTGTCTGTCTGTTTGTCTGTCTGTCTGTCTGTCTGTCTATCTGTCTGCCTGTCTGGCAGCTGACTCACCCCAGTAGTCTCCCTCTGTTTCCCTTGTTTTCTCTCTCTTTCTCTCCTCTCTTTTCTTCTCTAGTTCCTAGATTTCTCCCCCTACTTATTGTCTCTGCCCACCAGCCCCACCTATCCTTCTTCTGCCACACTATTGGCTATTCAGCTTTTTATTACACCAATCAGGTGCCTTAGGCAGGCAAGGTAAAACAGCAACACATTTTTACATAATTAAACATGCAGCATAAACAAATGTAACACATCTTTACCTAGTTAAAGTAATATTCCACAACATACGATATGATGAGCCTCCTAAAAGCGCAAAAAAGACAGTTGGCTTTGGCACATGCCTCAAAGGTCCCTGAAGCCCCTCAGTTTTTATTGTGTGTGATATCCCATGATGGTTTTGATTCAGTGGGTTAGTCTTCCTTGAAACTTGTTTTTACCCCACATAGGACATACTATGTCCTGATTTTTTTTTTCTTCCGGAGACAGGGTTTCTCTTTGTAGCTCTGGCTGTCCTAGAACTCACTTGGTAGTCCAGGCTGTCCTGGAACTCAAAGATGTACCTGCCTCTGCCTCCTGAGTGCTGGGATTTAGGATGGCTG